AGGCCAAGGTGGGAGGATTGCTTGAGTCTCAGAGTTCAAGACCAGCCTGGGCAACCTAACGAGACCTTGTCTCTTCTAAAAATAAGAATAAAATAAGCTAGGCATGGTTGTGCACACCTGTAGTCCCAGCTATTAGGGAGGCTGAGGTGGGAGTATCGCTTGAGCCCAGGAGTTGGAGATTGCAGTGAGCCGAGATCGTGCCACTGCACTCCAGCCTGGGTGACAGAGTGAGACAAAAAAAAAAAAAAAAAAAAAAAAAAGTAAGCTCCACAAGGAAGCAGTCTTTATGTGTTTTAGTCACTGATGTATTCCATGCCTAGCACTGTAACACAGAGCAGGCAGTCAGTAAATACTTGTTAAGTTGAATTCCAATGTGGCAAACATGACACTTGGTCTCACCAAGCTGCACACTCCTATTATCCCCATCACCCTGGACAGGTTGGGAGTCATAAGCTGAACCACTGGAACTGGATTTCTCTGATGACATCTGTGAGGTATGGAGGCTGATCATGGCTCACAATGTTGCTTTAGGGAGTCAGTGTTCAGCTTAGCCACAAGCAAGATCTCAGCACTCCTGCAGCACCAGGGTCAACTCTGCACCAGATATGAGTGGTTTGATAGTGATTAAGTCATATAGTCTCTTGGACTTTGGTTTAATCACCTCAAAAATAAGGATGATGCTTTTCTCATTGGATCAGGCAAAATATCTGTTATAGATGATTCCCCAGCACCTGGCTGAGAATCTGGCACAGAGTAGGTAGGCAATAACTTGGTTGATTATAAGGAAAAAATGAGATGATGTTTGTAAACTTATGTAACCATAAAGCACTTGGCATAGAGCCTGGAAAATGGTAATCATGCATTCATTCACACAACAAATATTTACTGAGCACCTACTACGTGCCTGTCAATAACTCAGTGACTTGTGTTGGTCTGGGAAAGGGAGAGACTTTCTGTATAAGTTGAGCTCAAAAGGCTGCCTGGGCTTACGCCCATAATCCCAGCACTTTGGGAGGCCGAGGTGGGAAGACTGCTTGAGCCCAGGAGTTTGAGACCAGCCTAGGCAATATAGTGAAACCCCATTTCTACAAAAAAAATATAAAAATGAGCTGGGAAAGGTGGGGCATGCCTGCTGAGGTGGGAGGATCACTAGAGCTCAGGAGGTAGTGGCTGAAGTGAGCTGTGATTGTATCACTGTACTCTAGCCTGGCTGACAGAGTGAGACCATGTATTGAAAAAGGAAGGCAGTCTGAAGAGGGTGACATCTCTCATAAGCCAGTCTGCCTCAATATCTGCACAGAAGACTGAGCAGGCCAGGCAGGTGGCCTTCCCCTCTCATTGGCCCTGAAAGAGCCCTTCTCTTCCAAGTCAGCCATGCAGATCAAGACAATTGAGATCTGGGACTCATCCTCCCAGGACTGCCCTCCCTCACTGATATCTATGTGGGTTGCATACACAAAGCAAATTTCATAAGTGCTATGGGCGTCTTCAGTGCAGGCTGGGACCTGGGGTCCAGGGTTTCTGACATGTCTGCTCACTGCTCCACAAGTGCTTTGACTTTAGGAGAGGAGGACCAGGAAGGCTTAGGTGTCAAGGTCTATTTGCTCTTTCTGCCACAGTTGCCACAGCTCAACAATGTGTTCTCAACATGTGCCCAGCTGTGTGCAAAGCAGTAATGATGAAATCAAAATTAAACTACCTCTGGGGGTTGGCGGTGATAATATCAATTAGTAGTAGTAGCAATAATAGTAGTATTAATAGTAATAGTAGTTGCAATAGCAGCTTACACATATGTCGCACCTATTACGTGCCAGGCATATGCAAAGCACTCAGTTTACCTTTCACCTCACAATAACTCTTTGAATTGTTAGCCCAATTTACAGATGAGGAAACTGAGGTTCAAGAAGGTTTAGTATCTTGCCTGTAATCACCCAGCTAATAAATGCCAGAAACAGGATTCACCCTCAGCAGCTCAACTTTGGATGTCATCTTTTATGATCATTTGGCAAAGGGTCTCCTTAAGTATTATGGTGTATCCAACTGTGAGGCTGAGCAAGATACCCAACCTCTCTGGGCCTCTGGCTCCTTCTCTATAAGAGTATCAAATGCTCAGTCTTATTGGGAGGTGATGAGTTGATGTATGTAAAGCCCTTATATCCATGCCTAGTACATGATGAGGGCTCAAAAGTATTAGTAATTGTTGTCGATGTGATCAAATAGCCTAAGCCTAAGGACTCCAGGCAGAACCTACTGTTTGTGAACAGCTGGAGAACATTCTTCAATGGTGTTTTTGGCATCTACTTTAGGTTTATGAAGATAAGGAGACCTCACAATTTCTGGGAATACCATTCTGCTTGACACTCTGAATTTCTCCCTGAACCTGGTGGGTGGGGCATGTGCTGAATCCGGTAGACTATCTAAAGCCTGAGCCCCATCACTTACAAGCTGTGAGTCGTTGCACTGGTTATTCCACACCCTGAGCCTCAGTCACGCTCCCTAGAAAAGGGAGATAATGCTGCACACACTCACATGGTTGCTGAGGACTATGGGACAACATCTCTGAGGGACACTGGATATAAGACCTAGCATAAATTCTCAATAAAAGGGGATTATTTTGATAGCACATTAATCATTGTTCTTAGAGGCATTATCATTGGCAGTAAGGATACTGAAATTCAGGTGACTTTTCCTGCTCTTTGGTGGGTGGGGTGAGGAAGGATATCAGACCTAAATCACCAAGGAGCCCATCCTCTTCCTTCACTGCATCCTTCTCCACAACAGCCCTTTAGACACTGCCTTAGCACATACAGGAGCTGAACTCTGCATAGCTGGGGTTTCCCAAATGTACCCCATGACACCAAAAACCAAGCTTGTTGTAAAGAATACAGGCTTTGTGCAGGTTCCTAGGAGCAAATTGAAGGACTATGCTCAATCCTTACTGGAATCGAGAAGTGAATTTTCATGATGCTGGGAAAGAAAAAAGGTAGCCTTAAAAATTCCTTATTGGGAAAAGTAGAGGGGAACATGAGGAGCAAACTGTCTAAGAGAAAGAAAGAAAAAATTATCCACTCTGCCTGGTAAGAAGGCTTCTGGCAGCTCTGCAGCTCCACCAAGCTAATTCAGCACGAGCTGACCCTATCAGGTGATCAAAGTCTGGAACCATTGATATATACACAATAAATGAAATGACACTGCAAATCATGATATAATGCTATCATCTATGGTCTCAGACTTTATGGCCACAGAATACTGAAAATCATCAAAAGTGGTGAAGGTCAAGGTTGGATGAGCTCTTATGCACCCCCACCCCCAATGATTAGGGCAAGTGTCTCCTTAGAAGCTGACTGACCTGAGACCTTTGGATCATGTATGCATCGTAGCTGGACCAGTGGTACTTGGCTGTAATATCTGGACTGTAGCCAGCACCACAAAAGCATGGTATTTTCAAGCTCAAGGGCTGTCTCTTAGGTCTGTAAACCTGTGGGAGAAACCTATAATGGTTAGGTGCAGGAGAGGAGGGTGCAAGGAAGGAATTAGGGAAAAGCAAAGAAGGATGCTGATTTTGACTTTCTGTGGCCAAGTAGGTGGAAAACCCAGTGTAAAAGATGCACAGCTCCAAAAAAAGAGGTCAGGTGTAAGCAATCTCTGACCCCTGAGGCCAGCGTTAGCAAGGCATACCATTCTGTGGAATGATCCCAGTGTCTTGCAGTGACTGGGACTCTCCCTCTACAAGGACAAGGTGCTCAGGCACAGTAGCGGTCTCTCTCTCTCTTTCTCTCTCTCTCTCTCTCTCTCTCCTCCTCCTCTCTCTCTGTCTCATTCTCTGTCCCTCTCACTGTCTCTGAACAAGGCAACCCCATGAGAAATAACTCTGGTGCAGGGCCAATGTATGTCTTTTCCTTCCTGAGAGGGAAAAGGGTTAGTCACATTGTAAGCGGAGGGGACTTAATCCTTCAGGCTTCCTTTCCACTCACCTTGCCCATGGTGCTTGGCACAGATCACTCTAGCAGGCAGAGAGCCTGCCCCAGGGACTGAGTCAATATGGAGGCACTCTACATGGTAACTGTGTGGCCATTAGAGAGCTTCAGAGCCACATATGGCCCTAGGTAAAATGTGGTAGCCACCCTGCAAGGCCATAAACCATTGAGCTGACTGAGTTTCATAATGAACTCGAATCTTAGTGAATATCTTTAATCGTTGCTTACAAGAGTCACCAAGTAATATGAGGAAGATAAATATCTAAAGATTTCATGGATGATTTTCCAATATGCTTCACATGTAATTATTTCCATTTAAGCCACTTCCAGAAAACCTTCCAGAGAGCAAGGAATTTTCTGCACAATTTAGAACTATGCCCCTGCTTCCATATCCCTCAAAACAAATACAGTGGCCTAGAGGGACAAAAACACAGGATAATGGGGCAAACAGGTGATTTTTAAAAAATAGTGTGAATTTAATGGCTGGGTAGTCTCTAAGCATAGTCTGGCAGTGCTAGAAGCTGGGAGATGCTCCTTGGCTGAAATGTATCGGAGGAAATAGTCAAAGAACTAAAGTTGAAAGAATAGAGAGAAAGAAACCTAAAAACCTGGATGAGGGCAGTTCTTTACAGGGACCAGAAAGTGAGCAAGGCAGAGGTAACAGGTCCAACAGGAAAGAAGTTTGCCCAGAATTTAATTATAAGTTTCTAGAATTTAATCAGAAGTCAAACAAAGTCCACTGGAAGAAAGAAAGCTGAGAGCTACTTTTGGGGAGATGACGCTGACACAAAAGAAAGGAAAACAGCACTGGTTGCAAACCATACGATCCCAGCCACATGCACATAAACACAGAAAAACAGTAAAATGCTGTTGCAGTGACAACTGGGTCCATTGCACTCCTACCTGGTTTTAGCGGCTTGAGCCCACAGGATGGACATGGGAAATGAAGAGTGGCTAAAATCCAGAGAAAGCCCACAAAGCCCCAAACCCAGTAAAACACACCTGTCTTGCAGGAGGCCCCACCTGCTGCTTTAATTGATGTACTAGTCGGTCTTTTTCTCGCTTGAGGGCCATGACTTCTTCCTGCGTCTTTTTCTTTTTGGAGGCAGACAATTCCAGCAAGGCAATGTTTGCATCTTTTTCACTGATGGCTGCAAGTAGCGCTTCCTGTCTGGTAAAATAAAGATTATTGAGATCATTTTTGTAAAATAAAAAACCCCAAACAATTGACATTTATAGTTGAAATGAACCACAGAGTATTGTCTCAATGGGAAGAAATTATGAATAATACTTAAAACGAACTAGCTCTTTGGCTTTCAGAATGGACAGAGTAGTTTGGGTCAGAATCCCTGAGACTGCACACTGCAGCCACTGAGAGAGGAACCTTTTAATGGCTTCATAGATGTAGCCACATATTAGAAATGGGAGGGGACAAATCTGAGCATTCATTGCCGACACATTTATCCACCCATCCATCCAAACATACATACATTCATCTATCCATCCATCAATTTGCCAAGAGTCTTAGTCTGTTTTCTGTTGTTATAAAGTAATACCTGAGACTGCATAATTTATAAAGAAAAGATGTTTATTTGGCTCATGATTCTGGAGATTGGGAAGTTTAAAGGCATGGTGGTAGCTTCCAGCAAGGGCTTTTGTACTAACATGGCAAGAAAAGTAGAAGGACAAGTGAGCAAGTGTGAAAGAGACCACAAGATCAAGCAAAGCTTGCTTTTATAACATCCTGCTCTCTCAAGAACTAATTCACTTCTGAGACAAGAGAATTAGTCCATTTGTGAGGGCTCCATCCTCATGATCCTCATAATCTAAGTACTTCTTAATGCCCCTGCCTTTTAATACTGTTATGTTGGTAATTAAGTTTCCATCATATGAACTTTTGGGGGATATATTCAAACTACAGCACCAAGTAAGGTTCTAGATACTCTGAGAAAACCCCCAAAACTGGGTAGCAATTTCACCTATTACTTTTTTCATGAAAGATTTTCTTTTGAAGGCAGACAGAGATATTTACTGGAAACCCTGTTCTATTTTCAATGCATTTAGTGATGCTCCCTTGCCATCCCACCAAAAACAATTACTTCCTCAGCCTTCCTTGTTTCAGTAATTACACTACCATCCACTAAGCAGCACAAATCCTGAACTTAGAAGTCATCCCTGAGTTCTTTCCTTCTTTCTCTATCCAGAGCCAATCCACTGACAACTTCAGTAGGTTTTACTTGAAAGTATGCCCCTTATCTAAACTCATGCACTACTATGAAAACATCAACCAACCATCAGCATCACTCACTGGGGACCACTACAAAAGCTTACTCATTGATCTCTCTGGTAAAGAGAGTAAAGTCATCTTTCAAAACATTATAAGCCCAGATTCCACCATTCTATTGTGTAAAGATGCATTGCATCACTCTTTAGACTTGAAATCCAGACCCTTTATTGATGCTTGCAACACATTACACTAACCAGCACTGACAACCTCTCTGAGGGCCTCTGTTCCTCTTCTCTTTCCTCAATCATTAGGCTCCAGTGCATTTCGTTCCAGGTCTCTGCTAGTCCTCGGAAATGTTACCCTTGGCCCCTCACGTCACAGGCTTCACCTTTCTATGCTTTTGCCTCACACAGCTCTTATCTTCCAGGTGTGTGACTGACTACTGACTTAGACTGCCTCATGTCCAAGTCGGTCATCTGTCACATTACACTACTTCATTATTTTATAGCACTCTTTGCCACATGATAGCATCTTATTTCTTATTTGCTTTGTAGACTTGATGCTCCATGAAACTGGGACCTCTATCGATCTTGTACACCACCAATTCTCAAGCTTCTAGAAGATCCCTCAGCACATAGCGGGCGCCCAAAAATGTTAGTTCAAGGAAGAGGAAAGTTCATTTTTTACTTTTTACAGACTTTTAAAGATATCACCAGACACCTCTTCCTCTCATTTTTAACTAATTAGAATGCTTTGTTTCCTGCTTAACCTATAGTCATCACTTATTCAGAGAAGTTTTAAAGTTGCCTCCTTCAATCTTTACGGTATAATTTTATGACCACATCTGTCACAAATTTTAACCTGGAATTTTCTGGGATGATTTTTGAGTAGGAAATAGCCCTCCTGGGTGTGTTTCATTGAATCCTCCTTTCCTCTGGGAAAGTCTTATCCTCATCATTTGTATCTCTTCTGAAACATTCTAGCTACTTTGGAAGACCCCACAGCCCCAAGGAAGCCTCCACACTGAGAACTTCCCTCACACACAATGCCCAGGACTAAAACCTGGTCATGATCCTGTTTTGCCTTTCTTTAATCCCCATCACCAGACCAGGCCCTCTCCAGATGTTTGGACAAGGTGGTCATTATTTGGATCTCAGATTATTCCCCTTTTCACTGCAGGGATTTATATGGAGTTTTCTGGGCCCCACTAATGCCTGGCAGTAGGAGCTTCTGTTTGAAGCTCACGCAGATGTGTGAGCAGCAGAACATGTCAGGAAATATCTCCATTTTCCAGAAGAAAAGCAGGGCAGGCTGGACTACCACCAGCAGCATTAATATCCAGCTTCACAGAGCCTGTCTGCTTTTGGATAACAGCTGAGACAATAGACATGCTTGCGGCTCCCAGCCAGTGCATATTTATACAGAGGGTGAAGCTGAAGAGGCTATACAGACTTTAAATCAGGGAGAGTCTATTTGCTATCTGCTATTCCAAACTTTAGCTACAACGCACAAGGTGACTGCAATATTTTATCCCCTCTGTTACAAACTGAAATATCTAAGTGAAGCTTTTTTAATAAAAACAAACTAAAGGACCGATATTAGGAAAATTGGGGATTGGAGGTAAACTGACTACACCTCTACAACTGCATCTTTACAGACATATGCAGGTATTTAAAATGCTGATTTAAAAACCTTAGTGACGTGAAAATATTTATGTTTGTTGAGAAACAATTCTCTGCGAGTGAGTCTGTCATGTTTCTGTGCATTTTACAAGCACAGACACTATTTTCTTTTCTGATAATCTTTCAAGGCCGTTTGTACAGTGACTAGCTTTGAAAGACAGAGGTGGTTTTTCTTTTTGGATCAAAGGGAAGACACGCTTACTGCCCCATATAATAGTGTCTCCTTCCAGAGCAAAAGGCAGGCAGGCATGCTACTGCCCATTATAAAATATTCAGATTCTCTTTATCTCAGGGTTGCCCTCCTATAATACAAATGACTACGTATGTGTTCATCCAGTCCATCCGACTGGCCTCCATGGGACTTGGAGCAAGGAGAATTGACACAAATATACTAATTCTTCACTCTGTGCCATGAGCAATAAAGTCCTTTATCTTTGGCCCAGAAGCCTCTTGTCATCTGCCTGCATCCATGGAACTGAGGCAGGCTAACCTGTTAGGATACCAGTAGGGAAGATCTTAGACCCTTCATAGTTCTTGACATACAAATGTATATCCAAAATGATCCCTAAAACATAAAGCTATACAGATAGGAAAAAACAGGGACAAGAAGGAAGTATACCAAAATGATAATAATCACCATTTCAAGGTGACGGGATGAACGAGGCATTTGTTTTTTTGTTTTTTTGTTTTTTACTTTTTTCTGCTTATACTCTTAAGCATTATTCTCAGAAAATATCCTAAGAGTAAACATTTAAAACTTGTAAGTTAGGCTTTCGGTCATCAAGTAAACTGCAGGTACATGGTTCAAAATCTTAGCAGGTGTGTAATTTGCTCATTTTCCCACCCAGGTTATCTATAATATGTTCTGTCTGTCCTTCCATTCTTTATGCACAGATAGGCGCACACACACATTTTCACACACACACAATGTCTGATACAATCTACATCATCTACCACTTGGAAAACTGTAGTAGTCTCCGAACCAGACTCCCTGTGTCTACTTTCAGCCTGCTTTAACCCATTTTCCCTTTCTAGGTCAAAATTTGAGATTATATAGCTTTAATAACTGTCAAAAGTCATCATCAATCCAAACAATAATCATTTAAAAAAAATTTTACTTTAAGTTCTGGGGTACATGTGCAGAATGTGCAGGTTTGTTACATAGGCATATACATGCCATGGTGGTTTGCTGCACCCATTAACCCATCATCTACATTAGGTATTTCCCTAATGCTCTCCCTCCCCTAGCCCACCAACCCCTGACAGGCCCCAGTGTGTGATGTCCCCTCCCTGTGTCCATGTGTTCTCATTGTTCAACTCCCACTTATGAGTGAGAACATGTGTTTGGTTTTCTGTTCTTGTGTTAGTTTGCTGAGAATGATGGTTTCCAACTTCATCCATGTCCCTGCAAAGGACATGAGCTCATCCTTTTTATGGCTGCATAGTATTCCATGGTGTATATGTGCCACATTTTCTTAATCCAGTCTGTCATTGATGGTCATTTGGGTTGATTTCAAGTCTTTGCTATTGGGAACAGTGCCGCAATAAACATACACGTGCATGTGTCTTTATAGTAGAACGATTTATAATCCTTTGGGTATATACCCAGTAATGGGATTGCTGGGTCAAACGGTATTTCTGGTTCTAGATCCTTGAGGAATCACCATACTGTCTTCCACAATGGTTGAACTAATTGACACTCCCACCAACAGCATAAAAGCGTTCCTATTTCTCCACATCCTCTCCAGCATCTGTTGTTTCCTGACTTTTTAATGATTGCCATTCTAACTGGCATGAGATGGTACCTCATTGTGGTTTTGATTTGCATTTCTCTGACGGCCAGTGATGATGAGCTTTTTTGCATACGTTTGTTGGCTGTATAAATGTCTTCTTTTGAGAAGTGTCTGTTCATATCCTTCACCAATTTTTGACAGGGTTGTTTTTTTCTTGCAAATTTGTTAAAGTTCTTTGTAGATTCTGGATATTAGCCCTTTGTCAGGTGGGTAGATTGCAAAATTTTTCTCCCATTCTGTAGGTGGCCTGTTCACTCTGATGATAGTTTCTTTTGTTGTGCAGAAGCTCTTTAGTTTAATTAGATCCCATTTGTCAATTTTGGCTTTTGTTGCCATTGCTTTTGGTGTTTTAGTTATGAAGTCTTTGCCCATGCCTATGTCCTGAATGGTACTGCCTAGGTTTTCTTCTAGGGTTTTTAATGGTTTTAGGTCTCATGTTTAAGTCTTTAATCCATCTTGAGTTAATTTT